AGAAGGGACATCATGAATTAAACAGAGTGCCCCTCAGTGTCAGAGAAGATGCAATGACTAGAGCACAGCCTCCCCCCATCTAAACTTAAGTCATGGGGTGCAGACAAGAGCCCAAACTTAGCAACAGATGTTAACCGAAGACAATGGGGGAGGAAGAGCAGACGCTTGGACTGTCTTGGACTGTGATATTTTCTTCTAGTGTTGTTACCAAAGTGCCTATTTAATCTTTGCAGCTTGAGGTATTTATTTGCTGAGAAAAGTATCCTTGGAAACTGTGATTCTGGTGGTGACAGCAAGACTAGTAGAGCTATTAAAGAATTAATCCAAACCAACAACAAGGGACCAACAGTATAGTCAATCATAGTTAATGTGTGGGGATAATTGACAAAAACAAATATCTCTATATTATCTTAATGACGATTTTGAGATGATATTTTAATAATGCATCAGGAATGTGCTAAAATGTGCCTGTAAATGTCTTGATTGAGGATGAAGTATAGTATAGTAAAAACATGAATGAATCATCCTTCTAGCTTGAACAATGTAAAAGGTTTACACTATTTTCTGATCTCTGTTATAATACTGTTTCCTCACAAACATACCTGGAGTTTATTTTTATTTTTTATTTTTTTGTAGTATTGTTTTATTCACACATTTCAAACACAAACCCTCAAACCCCTTCTTCTCAAACAGAAAACACTATTCCACCTCGTGATGGCATGTGGTAATACAAGAAGTGCTCTGCTGTGTTTTTAGTCTCTATACACCTTCACTAAAATCATTTGGGTAAATTCAGCCTTGGGGTTGTTAATCTTTACTGAACAAAAAATAAAACATAGCTGTTAAACTACTGCTTCATTACATCACAAGGTGGAACAGAGCATTTTGAGCTTTGGAGATATAGACAGACTAATAATGCAGGATTACTCAAACGTGCGAATGAAACAAAACATAACTCCAGGTATGTTTTTGATGAGGTAACTACATTCTAGCATGACTAAAAGCACACAAGAGTCAATTTTGCATAATACAGGACCTTTAATATGATAACTTGCAGCTATTCAAAAGGAAACAGGATCAAAAAACAGTACTACAAAACAATTCTCCACTGTTATGCATATGCAATATGCATGTAATTCATTTATATAGTATATACTGCACATTCGCATTTCACCTTATAGATTTTCCTTAATATCCCTATAGCTGCACCATCTAAGTGCCTGTGCATGTGTGTATAGGTTAAGACTGCTTTGCTTCAAGGTTACAGTGACAACTCCTGCTGCAGCCATGATAAGATCTCAGTTAAGACCGAGGGGTCAGATCAGGGGGGAGGGGGGACACGTCTTTGCCACCTACTGTCCAGTGTCAAGGTCAATGTGCCCTAAACCACCTGCCTTAACCGGTCACTGTGAATCACTGGTAACCAATTGTCTCATAGTGGATTGCCTTTTGTCACACTTGTACCTCTGTCTCTCCCCTCTCCCTCTTTTCGGGTGGCCAGGTGGAGCGGGAGGAGGAAGAGCACTCCCGTCAGCCACTCCAGATGAGCCAGTTGCCATGGGGACAGTCAATGGGCTGGAGAGTGGGGACTTTGGGCCAGACACAAACACTCAGCGTTTAATTTTACCAGCTGGTAGTCAGTGGGTGAAACGACACAGGGGGGAGCTGTGGGCGAGGAGAGAGAGAGTGGGCTTGTTATACTAATAAAAAAATAATAGAATAGTATGTGAGGGGGAAGCCTGGTCCCCCTTGAGCGTGGATGGACTAGTGGACTTCATAAAAGGCTTTAAGCCCCCATGTGAACATGCAGTAGCATAAGAAGAGAGGAATTTTTCGGATTACATCATTGAGCGTCCCACTTGGATCGGTGGGGTGGGCTGGGGGGCGGTGTGAAGGAGGAGATGATGTCATTTGTAGAGGCACAAAAGCGAGACAGCAGTGTGAGTAATGGTTTCAAGAAAAAAATATTAAAAAGTCACAGGTGCTAAGGTGCTTTATTGAACTGAAGTATCTCAAATAGACAAATGAATACTCTTGTCACTGTTCTTTATATACAAAAACAATCATAAGGTGCTTTTTGACAACGAGTCAGCTGTACGTATTCGTTTGAAAAAGAAACCAAGACAGAGCCTATGATGTGAATACATGTGAATACAATAAAACAAAAATACCACCTGTATAGTATATGTAGAATCATATGCAGCTAACTTTCAAACTGGAATTTTTTATCATAATTGGCTGATCACTATATCAAATTTTTTTATACATATATATTCAAATGCCTCAAGGTTTATGGCTACAGTGTGTGGAAACAAGTGGCAGAATATGGCACGCAAGAATTCATACACACTGCAATATATTTTGGAACAGAAAGGCAACAACTATCAACCTAACTTCCACAACTAAAATCCAGTAGTTCGTAAGCATCTAAGGCACGAGTTGTACTTTTCAACTCAAAGTGAAGGACATTTCCCAGGATACAGGTGACTATAAGACCCTCTTTTATCGTAGATGCCAGGGAGCAAACTAGAAAGTCAAGCAAAAATAGTAATATTGATTAGTGGCATTTCCGTCTTAGTGCATAGAAGCAAAAAGGGTCAGGGTTCACAGCTACTTCCTGTTCCACTTTGCTATATGAGAGTGGTCAGAAAAGCAATCGATTGCACCATCATCTCTTCATGTGGTTATAATACATGACAAAAGAAATACATTTCCCTTTTAAATAGGGATGCCTAGATCTTATAATAAACAGTAGCTTGGTTAGAAATTAGCACCTCAAATTAGGCCCCTAAATGAATACGACAGTTGGTGCCAACCTTGGAGCTGATTACATAACTCATCACTGAAAAGAGACAGAGGCGACGTCATACGACTCACTGGGTACATTTACATGCCCGGTAAAAATCTGATAACTAGAATAATCAGATATCTCAAAAATTACATCTGATTTTGTTTACATGCACAAATGAAATCTGAAATCCAACTTTTTGTGACGTGTCGGTTAAATCAATACATTTTTAGAGAAGCCATTTTAATTAGAATACAAAGTACAATCATTTAATAACTAAAATCTTTGACATTTTCTCATTTTTGTCTTTGCCATGAGTTTGCCCTTTTTGCATAATTTTATTTGTCAACATCAGCACAGGTCTGAATAACCAGAAATACATCTGATTACTCACATGTAACTGATATTTCAATAATCTGTTTTCTGCAGAAATCAGATCATCAGATTTTTGTTGTGCATGTAAACATGGCCACTGCAACAGTGTTCAAACAGATCTGCTGAAGCTCATGTTGCCAATAATACTTTCAATATTAATAGAACCATAGAGCCTCATGTCAAACTTATTTTGTAGTGTTTTCTGATAGGGCAGTGTACAATACGTAACATTCATAAATCATGTAATATCTCAGCAAAAAGCAAAAACAGTGAGGTCCAAGACAATCAAAATGTACTTTTGTGTGCACCTGGCAGTCAGTCATGAAAATTGCACAAAATGAACAACACAAGAAAATTAAGACCAGCAAAAAATCCCCAGTGATGTTACAGGTAGTAATACTAATAAAGTTTTGGTGAGTATCTAGGAGTATTTGTTTTTTCTGATTGCACAAATCACATTAAATCTCACAACGAAAAGCTTAACAGCAAAGACACATTTTGATGGCTGTTAATTTTATACAAAAGTGATATTAAGAATTTGTTCATTTGATTTAAGCTACAGAAATCCTGAATTTTAACACTATTCATTAGTAAAAGCTACTGCTGTCAGAAAACGTCTTTATAATAATTTTTTTTTTTGCTAAATTCCATTCAGCTACCATTTCATGTGACAACTAAAGCTAGCATATACACGATCATTAACAAACTGAAAGAGACTGTATGATCTCCTTCTCATTCAAATTAGTGTAATCAAAATATTTCTACCCTAAAATTTCACTAAAGGGAAGAGAAAATAAGACAGCTACAGAAGACTACAGCAAAATGAAATTGTAAAACTCAGTGCAACAATATAAGAAAATTGGGACAAAAGTACACATAAAAATGTACTATAGAAATACCTGATGTGCCCTGTGCATGTGTGGCACAAAGTTAATTAAAAACATAATGCTATTTTAAAATTAAATTAAGGGTAAGGTTGTGGCAGCTTTGTAAAATTAAACCACTAGTTATTGTTTTTGCAAGCGCACATAATCAACTCCTGAATGGGTCCTTTGTGTAATGAAATATTTTTGATGGAGAGAGTGCACGGTGACCGCCATACTTCAGCTTGCTCTGAACAATGCCCCTGCTGCTTTATCTCCAGGAGACCAGGGGTAGTGCAAGAGTGCAAATTTTCATGTAATAAATCAAGAAAGGAGGACAATAAAGCGCCTAAAATGAAAAATGTGGTTAAATGCACACATTCCTGATTATTTCTACTACATCTAAAGGGTAAATTCTAGCAGTGATTTACCTGAGCATATGGCAAAGTCCTGCTTGGTCTTACCGTCTACATTAGAGGGAATACTACATGTGTTAATTCCCAGTCTATACATAGACACAGACAGGATGTGCATGTGGACATTGGCTGAAATCACAAATTCCCCCAAAATGAAAAAAATATTTTTTGCCACAACTAAATGTGGCCTCACATTTAAAGTTGGCTAATTGGCAGTGCATTATATTTAGGTTTTATCACTTTACAGATACCAACTCAAAATTGCAGTCAGTACTTCACCTGCTGAATTACAAACAAAAATCTTATTCCACAGATACTTTATAAACCATAAATACTCAGCTATCAAATTGGTCAATATGGTCAAAAGTTAAAGTGGTCAAAGTTCCCTAATCTAAATATTGTAAACAAAACCAACAGTTAGACCTAAGCGAGCATTACATTTATGACCCACAAATTTAATACTCTGTGGATTCAACTAAACATAGTAGACAACTTGAATTTTACAGAGGTATCACAAGAACTAGTGATGTCCAGAATTTGGACTTTAAAGTGGTTGGGTTCATTCTGTCCACTTTTCAAAAGTAAATGTTCAACAAGTGGCACAGAGACACTTGTTTAATACTGACAGGCTTATGTTCATCTACACAGACTAAATATGCTCTAGTGAAATCCTTCACGTTGGCACTTGTCAAACGTACCACTCCCTACGAGAAATCACAGACCCATCTTTGTGGGCAACATAGTCTCCCTCTGGCCCGCTGTCATAGCAGTCGTCCGACAGATAGGAGGAGCACTTCTCCAGGGGTTTCACAGGGGGATACCTGCTGCTTTTAGCCTGTCGCGGGCTTGGGTACGGCTTGTGTTCTCGTGATGTATTATGATGATTCTGGTGATTATGTTGTCCACTCTCCCTCATGGCTCTAGTGTAGCCGTTAGCGGGGTATTCCTCTCCATGGTAACTGTTATGGTTCCTTCGCTCACGCTCCTCTTTGAGCTGTCGGTCGCCCCACTCCTCGCGGTCATGGTCGGCCTGGCTGCTTCCTTTGGTGGGCTGAAGCTCGTGCTGAGTGGGCTTCTGCAGGTCATTGTGGCCCATGTAGTGCTTGTTGTAGTAGGTCCCATGAAAGGTCTGCTGTTTTCTTAAGTAAAGCACTCCAGCCAATGACAGCACCAGCAGCAGGAAGAGGGCCCCGCCAACTGCCCCACCCACTACAGACCCCACATTACCGACAGGGATGGCTTGAAGCGTAGGGGAGCTGAGGAGGACATGGGCCTTATCATCCGCTAAGGAGGAGGAGGCGGTTAGCACAGGAGCAGTGATGGTGGAGGGCATGGCAGGAGGATCTAATGAGGGAAAGGCCAGAGGAAGAGGGAGTGGAGCAAAGAGATGACAAAGAGAAGAATGTCAGCTACATCAGTATTTCTCTAGGCTGGGATAACAATATACACACTATATCAACTATGATGATTCTAGAGAGTACACAAGGCTCAGAGAGCTGTGGTTTGCAGTCAAAGTCAAAGACTAAAATGTTAGTTTGGTACATGCATCAGCGCTCATGAAATATCCATCCATCTGTCCATTTCCATAAGAACGTTCTCTAAAAAAAGAACATTTAATGTCATATCTTTAAAAACTGCTTTGTTAAATGCTATTTGTTAAATGCTATTAAATAATTGTTAAATACTAAAATACTAATGTTTAAGAAAACATATTTAATAAATTATAAATTTAAAAAAGGAGCAAAACCAAAGGAGCAAACCAAAGCCTTCTGAGCAAAAATAAAATGTGGGGTCCATGGGATAAAAGTGTTAGAATTTATGGATTTTAGTAAATGAGTAATTCTCAATTGTAATTGTACTGATAAATTGTGTCAGCTAAAACCCAGAATTTTTTAAATGTTAGAAGTTACACGTTTTCTTTTCAAAGCAATGCCAGTTGTTTGTCATTAAAACCTCTAGTCCAGTAGAGTCGACCATTAGGCTAGGTTTGACTTGAGGAGTGATACCCACTAAACAGAAAGGCCCAGGCCATAACCAGAAGGAGCTGAAGCACTGGAAAGAATCAGAGTCTGAAAGCCTTAATGGGGCAGCAATTGCTCTGCCACTTCAAACTAAATGCCAGGCCAGATGTGAGGTGGAGATTCACATCCGAGAGATCAGAAACATGAACCCGGAGGACTGAGTGCAAATGAATGTACTCTGTGAGCAGGAGGGACGCTGACAGTTATGGACCAAACCACAACAACACATAAAGAAGGGCACGTCAACATGTGTAAGCTGCACATAGACATACAGGTCCTCTCAAAGGAAAATGAAATGTGGATGATAAATAATAAATAAGAGTTGAAAAGAACTCCTTAATGTTTTATGAATCTGGGACATCATCTCACAGTGAGGCTGCAGGCTTCTGCCTCTTACTGCATGACACAAGCAAAAGAAATGAAACACAGAAGTGAGAGAGAGATGTAAGAGAAATCACATCATAGGCACCGCTCCATTCACAAAGAGCCTCCACAGACCAGAGTTTATGCAACCAGAGGAGCATGCGTATAACGTACAGCAGAGAAACACATACAGTGTACATGCCAAGGAACAAGAGCCCTAATGTGAGGCACTATAGTGGAGAAAAGAACCCAAATATTTACAGCTGTCTGGTCCAGAAATGATTCATTTAGAGATGCTGTAGTAATTAAGGCTAATGATGATTAATCAAGACCAAATCTGAGTTCAGCAGACAAGACAAGATTTGAGAAACACCATAGATATGCCCTAAGATTTGAATGGCAGACTGTCAGTGTGAACCGAACAGGCAAAACTGAACCAGAGTCACATTTCAGCTGAAGGACATTGACACAGGCAGCAATAGTGCCGTGACGTACAAGCTCACACAGTGCTTCCTATGGGAGCAATAGGAGTCAGCTGTGTTCTGTGTAAACTGGGCTCACCTTGTATGAGGATGCGCACATCCCGACTGCGGAGGTTGATGTCATTGGCAACCTCACACCTGTAAACTCCAGAGTCATTTCGCTGGAGGGGACGCAGGAAGAGCAAAGTGCTGTTTATTACTTCGACGCCCTCTGGCATTTCACTGTCTAATCTGGGAAACAGAGACAGTGGTACTTGGCATTAAAAAGATATAAATATCAACTTCAGTCAAGTTAAGAAAACACCTTCCATATTGATTTAGCTTTGTCAGTGCATGGATAAGTTTGGCGAGTTCAAACACACCTGATCCATCTGAAGTGATGAGCTGGAGGGTTAGCATTGGCTTTACAGGTCATCTGAACATTTTCTCGACCGACATACCAATCTCCATCATAACCAACCACTGATATATCCGGGGCAACTTCAAGAAGAAGAAAATATAATGTCAAAAGCACCATGATTCAAACCTAATGCCGTGGTGTTTAATAATGGTAGTCTAGCCTGCGCTCTGCTTTATATCAGCTAACTCTTGAGGACAGTCTGTCTTTTAGTGCTCTGGACTGTGAGGGCATTAATAGCCCAGAGATATCAGCCTGTCTTTTAGAGTGCTCTAAGGTCACTGTATAAATCCATGTTCATACAAGACTAGACAAGGAAAATAAACATTGCCAATTATTTATTATGTTTATTTGAATTGTTATTCATAAGAGAAAATAGCTTGGTACATGATACTTACATTGCACATTGAGCTGGTAGGGGATCCTGAAATCTGTCTGCAGAGCTGGGTGGCGAACCACACAGGTGAGGGTGTGTCCCTGAACGTGGCGTGTGGGCTGCCATAGGTACCGTGCCTGTACACTAGTGGTGCCATTGGCTTCATTATAAAGCTGGACGTCCGACTGGCCGAAGAGGTTGGACTCCCAGGATACTTCTGCTGCTGGTCGAGCCCGCTCCGCAATGCATGTGGCTACCACAGTCTCATTACCACCATCAATGAGGGCAGTGGACCCAGCGGATACATAGACCTTGGGTTCCACTGTTTTAAATGAACAAGGTGTGGAAGAGAGGGTTATTCATAACAGCATTACATTCTACATTAGTACTACTTTTATGACTTTAGAAAGGATTGACTGAGCATGTTACCCCATAGGAGATCTACAATATATATCTTTCAGCAATCTTACAGGAACATTTATGGGAGAAAACAAACAATAAATTCAAATCTTTAATTGTTCTGCTTTGAAATATAGTCTACAAATCTTTCTAAAATAAATCTTTTTTCATAAGAATGCATCTACGTGGGACATAAATGACTGCAGAGCAGTGATACAGACTGATTTCTCTGTAGTTGGACTACTTGTGTGTTATGCAGATTTAAAGCACAACAGTTACCCATAGGAATTCTCACTTACTGTGGCCTAAGTTATGTTAAGGGGAGGCAGTTTATGAGAGGAATGAAATTTAGGAGTGTAAAATTAGAACCACTATGTGTGCTGGAGCTTATTGAGGCCGCCACGACATTGCACTAATGTTTCTCCATTTGTTAAAAAGAAGCAACAAATTTATTTCAAATTTAAAATACAAAATTTTTATTTATAACTCCATATATAAACTATATAAAACTCCTCACTTACTGTTCCCTTTCTACAATCCATTATTGTATTTACTAATTAGTATCAATGGTATTGTGCTTACCAAGCACAGTGACAGTTGTAGAGGCTTGCGTGTTTCCCAGAGGAAAAGTTGCGACTTTACAGGTGTACATTCCCACATCGGAAAAGCCCACATTTTCCAGTACAATGGTGGCATCATGTGAGGAGGGTGAACGAAAATACAAGCGCTGGCTGAACTCTGGGGGGATGGAGATCCCAAACCGAGGGTTGTACACAGCCACAGTGACGGAGCCGGTGGGCAGGCGGCGCTCCCATGAGCTCTGGGTGAGGGTGAGGTTTGAGCCCACATCCACGGTACAGTCCAGGGTCACGTTCTTCCCCAGCACAGCATTCACCTGCTTGGGGACAATCACCTGACTGCCCCATGCTCCTGTAACACAAACATTTAGTTTGGTGTGTGCCAATGTTGTCAAAGGTTTTCAAATATGATGTTACACATCATATTTCTTTGTCAATAGCTTTTCCAGGATCTTAAAGAAAATAAAGAAAGAATAATAATATAATTTCATACAGTCTTTGTAGACAAACTGAACTGCTTTGATGACAGTCGTCGTCTATAAATGAAGTGGATTTGGATTTAGGATGCACTTTATTTCTGTCAAAGTGGTAATGTGTTTAGAAATAAACTTTTTCTGAGTTTGAGGATTACTGTCATTGATCTGCTCTGGAGCAGTGACATGAGGTGAGCTTAAGCATGTTAGCTCCACAGCAGGTGTCAGACCCTTCCAATGCACAGCTGACTGCCTCAATGAGCTAAAGATTTTATATCAAGAGTTTGAGCCAGACCTGGATTTGTCTGTCTGTTTGTCCTTATCCAACTCAAATAAATAACCTGGATTTAAAGGCTGTGAAGTGAAGAGTCGTGATCGAAAACTCAAAGGGACTCCGAGCGCACTGAGCAGAAGAAGGAGCAGATATGCTAAGACGATGACATCATCTCTGAGGAAGAAGAGAGGCAGCCAAAAAGACAGTCACGTCTCCAAATTGCAAGAAAACGTGTAACTATCCCAACGACTAAAAACAGTGACATCATCAGAAAAAGCTGTGCGCCCAAAGCCTTAACAAGATCACTTAATTGTACCAAGCTCCCAATGAAAGACCCAATAAATCAGGAGCTGCTGTGCTCAGCAACTCACACAAACTCTGACTGGCAATCAGCCAATAGCTTTGAAACCAATTGATCAATTTTCATCTATGATTAACAGATGCCCATAGTTATGTTTTTATGTTAATGGCTCAATACAATATGAGACTATAATATGGTCAAATTACTCCAACAGATTTACTAAATTGGTATTGAAGATGAATAGGAGCTCATTTCACAGTTGGAGTACATATTTATAACTAACACCAAAATGCACTTGTTTTGTAGAGCCAAGTGATTTCACAAATTGCTTTGCACATTAGGGACAAAGATAGCTGTGAGGGCAGAAATAGCCACATTGTGAGTAAAGAAACCTGTACTTTATCCCTTTGTGAATACATAAGACAACTATAGTGACTCTATAAAATTTTTATTTGTGACATGACGACAGCGACGACTTACATAAGCGTGCCCTCATTTTCTTCAACTCAGATGAAAAAAAGAAGAGAAAAGGGCAAACTTCTTTCTGATCTTACAGCATGTGCAGCGACATAGCAATAAACATTTAAACTGTGAAGAAGGGACTTCAGTTGAGGTGCTTTTGTTCTCATGGAGTCAGTGCATGCATAGTTTGGCTGCTAATATAATACAATGTGTCTCATTCAGAGGCGCCGTACCAAACAGATTATAGATATCCAGCATCAAGGACACTTAGCTCCCAGAGGACTCCACAGCTCGTTCTCACTTTAGTCAATATTACCTTCACACGCACCACTTGTGTGTCAGCCGGCACTGTATTAATATGTGTGTCTCGCCACAGGGCAGCATGTCGTGTTAAAAGTGGAAATAAGAACATAAATGTGAAGTGTTTAGGGCAACTGAGCAGGACAGGACAAGACCAAGAGAAAAGGATAAATGGACACTTGACTCGCCTGAACTTAGCTGACCTTCACACACAACTTTTGGTCTGTAGACAGATATAACATCTCCGCTCTGTTTGCATTGGACTGAAGAGCTCTAATCAGAACTGTCCAATTACTATTGAACCATATTAACTTCACAGCACATATAAATGTATCGAGCTTATGGTCCCCAAGAAACCCCTGACCTCATGACACAGCCATCCCACTTTATAATATAATCCATGTACCCAGATGAAGAGCTGTGCCTTCAGACAGTGGCAGTAGTAAGGAAAACATTTCAATGTGGAACAATTCAAGGATGTTGTTTTCCCACACATTACTGATGTTAATTACTATCCAATAAGAAAAATCTGATAAAAAAAAGAAAAAACACTACAAGTTAAAAATACACCTTATAGTAGCGCTTCAACACGGTTTGTTCGCTTAGCAACAACATGAGATTGCAACTGTATCATGTTTTTTCTTATATAAGAAAGACATATTAACATAAAGTTCCTCTGTGCATTTGTGTTCATTATTGTCCTTGTAATTGCAAAATAAGTGATTGCAGCTTTAATTTTTCCAGGTTATAGAGTTAAGGAAGTGATTACTTTGTTCCAGGAAAATGCTATTAGCTGTGAATCTAGTTTACATTCAACAAAGGGACAAGGTCGACTCCCTCATTGAAATGTGCAGCAGATTAAAGTCAAGCTTGTGCATCTGTCATCTGTAGTTTTAACATGAAGAAAATAGTAAATTCAGAATATGATTAGGTGCATCACATGCTATACACAGTAATCCATACATATACATACATGCATACCGAAACAGCAGGGAGTCCGTAAGCACATTTGCATATCTCATTAAGTCTGTAACAAAAGACTGTTGTGTCTTTTCTGGGTCTAAACCTATGTTGTGTTTACAACATAGTCTCTCTGGAAAAGTGGATCAAGTTCAAGGGATTTCTCTTCAAACAAACTATGAGAGTATGATACGCCTGCTTCTTTTACCACTCAGCAGGTGAAGCAACTTTGAACTACACTGATACACACAGTTGCAATTCCTGGTGTTTCTGGGATGTACTAGGGCTATATTTCCATGCAATTAATGAAGCCAGAAAGACAAGACAATTATACAGAAAATATGGTCCACGTGTATGAACATATTTTATATTTAACAGTACAATATAGGTCCAGTTTATTCATTATACTGATGTAAATGGTCAAACAGACTGATACATGCCTTTTGGTATGTTAACTCTTAACTTTATTGTAATATTTGGGTCTATAGTTATTTAGTTTTATTTATGCATTTTTCCTCTTGTTCTTGTAGCCTACTCTGCGTTGCAACACAATTTCATTTCCCCATTGGAGGACAAATAAAAGATTATTTTCTTTCTATTTTATGTCATCTTAAAACTAGAAATAATTACTCATATATTATCTGCAGTAGCACATGTTGAATGGATGAGTAAGCCTTAATGGTCTTTGTTGTAACCAAAGTCGACTTGTTACTGTTGATTACCGCTTAGCCTTAATGAGCGCGTCCAGGGTGCACTGTGTCTGACCCTTACACCAGCCAGATGCCATCAAACTACACCTGCTCCTCTTCCTTTTATGCTAAACCTAAGTTTATGCTTTTATTTTAAGTTACACATGAGTTAGCATAGATAGCAAATGGCCCTGAAGCTCTCATTGCAACTCATAATTCCCCTATTAATTACCCAGCTAAGTGATGGTTGAGTGGTAATAGTTCGCTAATGGAGTGAGCGAGTGAGCACTAAGTGGCTACCATTTCTGTAGAAGCTCCATCCAACCATCTTTCGAGGCAGGGAGGCTCGTCCAGACTACATCTAACAAAACTTTTTATGTCTACTCAAATCAATGACCATGCAGTTTTGATTTATCTCCTTTTACCTGAGGAACTGCTCACGATGCCGGAGATTTTCCAAACTTCATTGCAACGTTACAGGCTACAGAAACTATGAACAAACTGTAGACTCACCTGTAATACCCCACAAAAGGTAAAATAACGCCACTTTGCGCTGTTTTCTGGGTTCGCTCAAATGCGAAGACGCGATCATTTTAAAAAGCATCAACATTTTGTGTTTTCCCGGTCCCGCTCGCAGGCTGCACGCCACTTTGTAGGTCTCCTCCGTGCACAGTGAACAGCGGAGGTCCTCAGCAACAATCAGAGCTGCATGTGGACCGTACCATCTGCCCCGGGACCGGAGGGGGGTGGGAGCTCACCTGGCATCAGAAATGGGGCATCCTCTGACGATGACGAGCCGCTGCACCCCCCATAGGAACGGACCATTTAAACACGCATTACATCATCGCTGTTGATAACCCCACATTTATTGGTTTCTTATTTTAATCATTTTTATTCTCTTTGTTTATTGGCCGCTCTCTTGAAAGGAGTTTGAAGGAGATACAATTTTGCACATGGTCACATTATTTTGATATATTTGGTTATATTGTCTTAATTAAGATATTACTGCAGGCCTAAACAGCTACAGCAACCTAGGATATAAGAAAATGTAATTAGTTAAATCATTTTCAATTTGGTCGTCTTATCAGTCTAGGAATTGTTCAGTGGACTATGCCATGTAGACCTATATTCTTATGTCCCACTTTTTAAAATATTTTCTTTTGGACAATCAAGCTATTGAGTGTGCATCGTATAAGAATAAGATATAAGAATAATACAGCCTAGGTTAGGCCATTTAAATGCATCATTTAGCAAGTGAGTTAAATTGTATTTATGGGCTTCAGAGTGATGAAAAATAAGTAAGCTATTGTTGTGATAGCAATAGAACAAGTCAAAACAAAATATAGTATATTGTTTGAATAGTGGACAGTCGTCAAAATGGAAGCTGTAAACAGGGAGCTGAAACACACAAATTGGTCTGATTAGGAATGAGATGATGCAGCCAATTAACTTCTGTCACTTACTTATGCCCTAAATGTCCTTCATCCCATCTGCAGTTTTAAGGTTGATCTTTGTGCAGTGGGACTAATTCAGCAGAGGGCAAGAGGAGGAGGGGGCAGTATCTTTTCGACTAACACAAACCTAACCAGGTCACTGCTTCCATTTGAATCTGAAAATGTCTTTCGCAAAGCCACAGGAGATACAATTATTCACTCATTCAATTGTAACTCCAGTGTGTAAAAGCAAGGGAGCGTGCGCACAGAAGGGGAACAGACTGACTTTGAGCAATCTCTCCAAATGAGTACAATGAGCAGTCTGAATATTGTTCTGTGTCTGGTTTTAGTTCATTGAGTTACACTGCTCCACTCTGATGATGCACAGGGATATATAATCAATTAAAAACTCAATGCAGAGTCATTGTTGGCTTATTATTATATAAACTGGCCAAACTTTGCTTAGAGAACAACATTAAGTTTTTAGCCTGTGTAATCCAAAATGTGCGTGTATTTAACATTTAAATCTGAATTTTAAGAATGAATGGGTATCTCTTTTTATGTCAGCCATGTGACTAGTTGGCAATGAGCAAAAAGGCTTAATGAATACATTTGTATCATTTAACTACAAAGTTTCTCCAGGAATGACTTTGGCCATGTTTTAGTTTTAGGTCTGGTTTAGTCTTGACTAGTATACCTGAATAAACCCATTGTGCCAGTAGTACTAAGTTCATCCATTAATTTTTCATTCATATTCATTCATTCATTCTGAACCACATCAAATACATTTCACAGTTTGAGGACTATGAGGTACTTTGTTGCCCTGATAAGCCCTCTGCTCTCTCTGTCTCTATGACCGGTTTCTGTCACCAGGTACTCTGTCTCAGGAATGTTTTTCAGCCCGTGGAGTGCTCTTTACCAAAGCAGAGAGGCGCTGAGAGGGCTATAGGACCGTGCACAAGTAAAGATCGCTTAAATTAGTCCACCTCCTGCTCAGGCACCCCTTTCATTCGGAACCCTCCCAGCTTGTTTACACACAATAATTGAGCCATACTTTTACTTAAACGAGTTACCATCTGGGCTGTGAGGAATTTTTACTTAAAGTTAAAGGAAAACAAATGAGATTTTTTGAGTTTCCCACAGAGCTAGCTCTTCAGGTGTCAGTCACAGAGGTATAAAGTAAAGCAAAGGTGACATCTGCTGGTTAGACGGAGGACTCATACATCATTACATCCAATTAGCTCATTTCATCCTCATGATAAAAACTCAAAATGCTGCAAGAGCACCATCGATAATTGTTTTCAAAATATATATGTTACACTATTAGTTAACCAACGTCCGTGAATATTTTTTGTAATGTTTAAAAAATATCAAGCAAGCTCAGACCACAATATAAAAATAACTCAAAAGATTAATTTACAATTAATTTCAATGTGAAAACGGCATTCCCAACAATATCAAATTGTTACCAAGTAAAACAAGATACACTATCAAAACAAACTTAAAAAATTACAATACAATTTCTGAAACATATACATGTGATAAGATAAGATAATATAGTACAATTCATATATTTAAAAAAAAAAAAAAAAAAAACAGTTGTAAGAGAGGTCAGATTGAAATTATTCTCTCATCTACCTACTTACCCAAATGTGCTATACAATATTATACTGTGCCATACTAGTTATCAAACATAAAATAGTTGATACACTGAAAACATTGAATCTTATAGTATAAACCCTTAAAGCTTGTGGAGATATGACCAGAGCCAAGATCCTGTGGGAAACTTCCAGATACAGGACAGGACAGATGGTAACAACCAGGACATAGTGGGCTGATAAGAAACAGAGCTTGCCGGGATGGTGGAATCGCAATAAACGATGGTAATATCAGGAAAAATAGGAACACGAGAAGCTTAGAGAAATACCAAGGGGCTCAAGGAAGAGCTGGAGAGAGCCATGGAAAGTAAAGGCATCAGTGGTGCCTGTGGTTGATCGGGACTGTAACCCCCAAACTGGAAGAGTGGCTACAACAGATACCGGGAAAAACAACGGACATCTCAGTCCAGAAAGTGCAGTACTGGGAACAGCAAAGATACTGCGCAGAACTCTCAAGCTCCCAGGCCTCTGGTAGAGGACCCGAGCTGAATGAGGGTGAGAGAGACCTACCACCGTGTAAGGTGAGAAACACATTTTTTTTTTTTTTTTTATATATATATATTTTATATACAGTCTATGGGTACAAACGAGTGTGTAAAGTCCATTAAGTCAACAACAATTAAAATGGTCACAACTTTTAATAACACAAACCAAATACAATGGCAGATGTTTGGCTGTATCTTCCATTTAATCTTAGAATTTAAACAAAGGCAATGAACATAAAAGGTCATTCAAAACAAAAACAAAAAAACATTCAGAGAATAAAAAAGAAAGAAAGAAAAAAGGAAATTACAATCAAATCAATATTTTAAATACAAATAAGGCAAAGCAGAGAGGCAAAGTATCTACACAAAAATAATACCTATGATAATAATGTACTTAATTGCTGCTGAATTGCAGGAGTGTGGTTTTGATGATGAGCTTGGAGAAATTTCTTGTATACTTTTCTGTTGTTTCACAGGAAATGAAAAATTAACTGTAAAAGTAAACACAGGTATTACATTATTCCATATACTTATGAACATTAAAAATGTGTTAATGTAAAATAACAGCAAAACTAAAAGGAAGGAAACAGCTTTGAAACGAAAACATTTAGGATTTAATTTGTTTGATAATTACCACAGAAATCCTTCTTTAAACTCAGTGAATTTGTGTCGAACCATAAATGTTGCTAAAGCATCTGCTACCTGCAAAAAATAGATAAACATAGTGTTTCTTCATACAATTTTTAACTGAATAGAAAATTTCACTATTATCAATTTCCCCACACTGGTTTATAACAAAAGAAAATTACAAATTAAACAAACTGCTTAATTTCTTACTTTTTCAGGGGCGTCTTCATGGACAGCATGGCCACATTGGGGCAGGACCTGCATCTGAAACTTTCCTGTGGATGGAATAGAAAAACAATTATGATTGTGATTCTTTCTGGTAAAAGATGAAGTAAAGGACCCACCTTGCATCTGTCCGATTGTGAGATCTTTATCAAGTCTGTCAACTCCTGTGAGGAAACAGAAGGGCTATAATTAATGCAGTTTATTTAGGCCTTACATTAATAAAATGAGAATAAACTAACCTGCAAGCAGGAGCAGTTTTGGCACAGAACAGGTGAGAAACAGAGCGGAGAGACCTCTGAACCAGCCCTCCCAATACTTCTCCGTCTTTGACAACTCAACTCTCCAGGTAAATACACCTTCCTTCTTTACCTTGTGAAAAAGGTTATCATGATCAACTGCTACATCCTTCCAGCAAAAAAAAAAAAAGTACTTATAAGTCAGACAGTTGCTCACTTCTGGGTCATCTTCCTTCATTCTTTTTTTACTCGATTCCTCTGCCACTTCCTCCTCTTCATCCTCTTCAATAATGCCTTCCCCAATGCTTCTTGACACACCTGGACTGCTACTGGTTTCTTCACATCTAAAATCAAACAAATATAAAAAAAAAAACCGCACGCGCACGCTCACGCACACACGCACGCTCACGCACACACACACACACACACACACACATTTTGACACAGCATGTTCAGTATAACAAACAATAAAAACTTACTTTTTTACTTGACCACCCATTGACACACGAGCTGATTCAATATTTCGAATCTGCCCACTCTTAACACTGAAAATGAATGAAGTATGAACATATAAATATATACATAAAACACACAAAATAATAAAGTAAGACTTGCCTCCATTCAATCGCATTCTCAAGAGATTTAAATGTCTTTGGACGACTTCTAAGAAAATTCTGCATACTGTTTAAAGCATCCATCGCTGTCCCTGTGTGTATAGATAGGATTTGTTTAGATTATATTTGATTTTGTTGCTAAAAGAATTAAACTTTAACCAACACATACCTTCTACAACATCAATAACACACAGGCCAATCAGTGATGGTACAAGATTGGCTGATGCTGTGTGCACTGCAATAGCTCCACCCATACTATGTCCAATTATCATAATAGGAGGTGGATTATCACCATAAAGTGACTCGACCACTTTGCCAACATCCCTTATCAATGAGCACACAAAAAGAATAGATCAACTTTTAGCAGAAAATTAAAACAAAACAAAATACACCATCCTTACTTGGCCATTGTATCAGCTGAGAGATCATCAGGATTTTTCACTTTGGAGTCACCTATAACCACAAGCAAAGTCTTGGTCATTTTTATTTAATTAATTAAACAAACGCTAATTAATACATTATATTGCTATACCATGAGCTCTGAGGTCCATGGCCACCACCCTGCAGTTGATCCTGCTGCAAATAACAGCCTGGGAAAAAAAATCAATAAAATTGTTCATTCATGTCAAATAAAGTGTTTCAACTTTTAGTTGCATGCTTTCCAGTCTCACAGTGAAAACAGCCCAAGAGAGAGCAGAGTGCCCTCCTCCATGAAGCAGGAGGAGCACTGGACCATGGGCACCGCTGCAGTAAATCCTGAAAATGTTCAAGGAAGTCAAGGGAATAATGCAAAGTATTTATCCATCATTCTACTTTGGTTCTTATTGGTATTTATGTTCAAGGATATATCTTTCCCATTGCCATTTTCAACTTCGACATCCTCCATGGTTTCAAAGTACTGGCTCCAGGACAGTGGGGTGAAATCTCTTTTTCGACCAGGTCTACAAAAACAAAACACAATTTTCATTAAAAGTATTCATACACGACATGGAACTAAAATGCACAAAAAGATTTATATATCTTTCCAGTAGCCTCCTAAAATGTATACTATAGGCTACACTACAGCTTTGTGTATAATAATAAAGCGTATGCAATACAGTGGATCAACTAACAAATCAATTCGAATTAAACAATGGCGTGTCTATGAACACTGCTGGTTATTACCTTACATTGTATTTGAAATCGTCATGATGTTTATAACCGGTCTATTATGATTACACAAGTGTAGGTACGAATGTGTTATTAAAATGACATTGACATGCTAGACATAACTTATGGCTACATGCTTTAATGCTAAAAATTAAATATTTCACTATTTATTAAAGACGACGTGCAGAATTTCGCAGTAGCATAACTGCGCACAGTTCAGACAGACGCGACTAGATCCCAAGCTTACCCCATTTTCATTTTGGATCCGCCGGACTGAAAACCACCAGGCATAGGTGGTCTGGAGGCTAGTAGATTTAGATGCAGCTGCCTCTCCATACTGTTGCCTCTGAAGCCCGTGTCAGTCAGGAAATGTTTACCGTGAACCTCCTCCCCTTTCGCAGCATAGGATTTTCTTTGACACCTGCTCTTCGGTTAGCTACACATCGGAACTGCGCTTGTGAGACGGACAAGCTAATGGTGGCTAACAGTTAGCATCCACTTCTTTTGCCCTAGCTGTAATTTTAAATACAAGACACCAGTGGGTTTGATGCTTTACTGCCATCTAATGGATAAAAGCAACATGCACGTTCATCAGTAATATGACATAAATAAAATAGCCACACGATGGCAGCAAAGGATAATTTTTCTTTGTGGTCCATACAAAAAAAACAAAAAACAAACAAAAAAACAAATACAAGAAAATCATGTTCAAATGAAAGAATTAATAGACACTGATTATGTAAAATTGTCATGAGCTTACTCAGACTTGTGTTTTGAATGGCTCATGAATGCGTGAGTAATCCTTTATTGTCCTGCATTTGAGGCTTGAGTGCTCTGAAAATTTAAAGTTTTTCCTGCTCCCTATCCCCACCCATTGATCTATTTACTTTAATTGAGGCCAATTAGGAAGTAGTGCATATGGAGCAATGCCATTTTTAAATGTAGGAGAGTACAATAGGAACTGTAGGGGAGACCGGAAATGCTATCACACTTTTTTCATTCCTTTCTCTGTCTCTGAAACACAACATAAATAATAATGCATACCAAATGAAAGGG